GATAGGGATGGAGATAGAGAAAGGGAGGGGATGGGGATGGATGGGGATGGATGGGGATGGGGATGGGGATGGGTAGCAAGGAGCAAGGGATGCACATGGGGACGGGAGGAGCAGCGTGGTGGGACAGCCAGGGGCTGCGGGAGAGTGGCCGCGCCGAGCCCAGTGCGCACAAATTGAGTGCTGCTAATGAGATTCCCGTAGGTCTGGGAGGCTGCGGTCCGGGCTGCCCGTCTAGAAGCTTCATCAGCTGCTGAAAGGCTCCATCGTCCCTCCCCGGCCGTGCCCCGGCCTGGAGGTGATGGGAAACCAGGAGCAGACTTCAGTCCAGGAGCGATGGGAGAAGGTGCCCTGCCAGCCGAGCTCCCATATCAGCTCTGAACGGGTTCTCTTCTCCTGGGCTGCTGCAAGCTGTTCCTGCCCGTGGCAGGGGGCTTGAAATTAAATTACCTCTGAAATCCCGTCCAACCCAAACCCTTCTGTGATTCAGCCATCGCTGCGGGCAAAGTGAGTTTGTACAGGATTGGGGTGGGAATTGGGCTTATCCTGGGGGTGTGCTCCAAGCATGGCCCCCAGGAGCCATGGTTAACCCCCTGGTTAAAGAGCTGTCAGACACCAGCAGCCTGCAGTGTTTAATAATGGTTTATTGAGCTGGGTTGAACACATTGCCAGGCTGAGCCCCCTCCCCTTGCCAAAGCCCCGTGCAGCACTGGTGAAACTGCAGTTGTGCCATGGTGGGCACCAGTGCGGGGTGAGCAGCCTTGGCTGGCCAGGTCTGATCCACTGGGAGGAGGTGGGGAACCAAAATCCCCTCCTGAGCAGTCCCAGGCACAACACACCACCGTGGGGCTCCTCTGGATGATCAAAAAATGTGTCCACAGTGCCTTGTTCTCCCCAGGGCAGGCAGCCGAAAACGTCAGTGAAAGACCCCTTAGAGCAGGGATGTCTGGGATTGACACACAGATGTCCCCTCTCCTGTCCCCACCTGCCCAAGGAGCCACAGAGCAGGGGTCACCTGTGTCCCAGCAAGCTGCCACCTCCCATCCATGTGCACCAGGGTGGGGACAGGCAGGTGACATTTAGCTCAGGGAGAGGAGGGAGGTTTAGCTACAAGCTCAGCATACACAAGCAGGATCACACACAGTTTGGGGCATGGCAGGGCTGTGGATCCATAGGTATACAAGGCAAGAGCTGCTCACACCTTCAGGAGGGCTGGCTCACAGCTCAGGACCATGTTGTTGGGTCTGAGGCAACCAGAGGTGTGGGTGCCACCACAGGAGGGACTCCAGGCCTGCCCCAGAGCAATCCTTTGGGATCTGTGGCACTGGCTCAGAGCGGGAGCAGGAGCAGGGATGGATATTCTGGAGGAGGAGTAGCTGGGGCTGGTGAGCCCCCCGTGCCCACCCAAAGCCAAGAGCAGGCTGGAGTGGACATAGGGACCATCTCACAGGGAAACCCCATGGCTCTGTGTGCCCCAAGCTCTGAGCTAGTGCTGTGGGCTGATGTGGAAGCACCAAGACACAAGCTGGGGCTGAACTTGGGGGCTCAGGTGGCAGGGAGGGGACACTTTTCCTCCCAGAGACCTGCGGCATACATTCACAGAGGCACCCAGAGCACCTCAGCTCCAGCAGCTCCCGTGTTCTCAGAACTGCAGGTCCCAGCCAGAGCCTGGTGTGGGCCTGAGGCCTCAGTAGTAGGCACCAAGGAGGGTTGAGACCTTGTGCAGGAGCTCCTTGTGGTTGGCGTGCAGGGGGATCCTCTTGTCCAGCACCTGCCAGCGGATGCACAGCTCGGGGTCACAGCCCTGGAGGAACTGCAGGGGGACAGGTGTCACATGTGTGTGTGTGTGGCACAGACATCTTTCATGAAAAATCCTTTCCTTAGGACTTTTCCTCCTGAGAAGCCTCAGGAACAAAATGTAAACAATGGTTATCTGCCGCTGTGGAATGCAACAGGTGCATCTGTGATTGGTCTCATGTGGTTGTTTCTAATTAATGGTCAATCACAGTCAGCTGTCTCGGACAGAGAGTCTGAGCCACAAGCCTTTGTTATCATTCCTTCTTTTTCTATTCTTAGCTAGCCTTATGATGAAAGGGTATTGATTCAGAGAGATTCTATGTTCTGATTCAATTGGAAAAATTGAAAAATTGGAAAAATTTCACCTTTCAATTTATTCAGACCCTGGAAAAAATTTCATCTTTCAATTGACTCAGCCCCTGGAAAAATTTCACCTTTCTTGGGTACTTGCCCTGTTTTTGCCTCACCTGATCCTCAAGAGACCCCAATCTTTGCTCCACCACCCCGTCCTCTTTTTTTAGTATAGTTTTAATGTAAAATATATCATAAAATAATAAATCAAGCCTTCTGAAACACGGAGTCAGATCCTCATCTCTTCCCTCATCCTCAGACCCCTGTGAACACCGTCACACGTGCTGCCAGCCACACTCAACAGCACCTCCCATCCCAACCCCATTTTTTGGGGCACACATTTTGGTGGCACCCCACATTCATGCCCTGCTCTCCCCCACTGCATGCAGCAGAGCCCTGTGGGGCTGTGGCTGTGCAGGTGTGGCTGCTGTGCCCAGGGGTGGCAGCCCCTCACCGAGTTCAGCCGCTTCATCTCCAGGTCGTGCTGGGTGTCGAAGTGCACGCTGATGGCCACCGTCTCCACCCAGGCATTATCTGTGTTCCGGGGGTCGTCCAGGTACCCCTTGTGCACCTGTGCATGGGGATGGCACCTGAGCAGAGCCCTCAGCACCTCCCTGAGGGCACCCTGAGGCTGGGTGGGGCAGTGCCCTGCAGGTCCGCCCTGCTGGAGACCAGAGCCCTGCTCCCAGTGGCATGGGGAGCCACTGCTGCAGGCACAGACTGGTGTGGGCAGCCCTCCCTGGGGGTCTCTGTGCTGCTCTCTGACCCCCACACATGAATTATGGCACATCCTCACCTCCCTTGCACCTTCCTCTCCGGTGGGAGCAGTGGCCAAGAGGTGATGCACCCTGCCTCTCTACCCTGTGCCACCCACATGGCCCTGTGACACCATGATGCCCACATGTCCC